GATCGTAGATTGACGACCTAATACGGTAAAAATAATAGAAATAATGTAAAATAACTATTTGTCGAAAATTAATAAAATCCTCATATAGGTCCCGCCACTAATTCGCAAAAAATGAGTATAATATGATGAAAATGTCCGAAACTTAATAAAAACAATGTTTTGGTTTCGTTTGGTTTGTTTTACGGCATATCAACACCTCAATGGGTTATTTAATACCGACAAGACTTTTATTACTGCTAATATATTTTTTCCAAAAATGTATTGTTGGTAATATTTTTTATTCAAAAATTCATTGCTGGTAATAATTTTTTTACAAAAATGTATTGCTGGTATTAAAACATTATTTACATTATTCGGACTATTGTCCTCATCTTCGTCGCCATATTTATCACAACTAGAACAGTCTACCCCAGTGAGCGAAATAAAGGGTTCAGTTCGAAATTCCAACCACCTGAAGAAGGCCGGAGCGTACAACGGCCTAAACGTTGTGATAAATATGGCGACGAAGATGAGGACAATAGTCCGAATAATGTAAATAATGTACATAATGCCTCATCTCAGAAATATAGAGACTCTGGTATTAAAACCTATTTCATAGTGTTTTGACCTCAGTTTAGGGGTTAACTATTTACCCATAGCTGGGACCCTAACAGGTGACACCTGTCTTTAAAAAATTTGATGAATAAAGCTTTTTACAAGAATTTTTATTTTTTTCATTTTACCTAGAATAATTTATAAAGTTTTGAATTTTTTAAATTTCTGTATTAATTTGTAACATGTTTGGTCATATCGTTATTAAGTAAAAACTATATTTACTAATCATAAAAGGAAACGCTTACAGCAATTCATCAACCTGCAATATTTTTTTTTTATTAATTTTGAATTTTTTGTATGTGCATAAAAGTGCAGATTTTTGTAAATACGGACGTCCATACACGATACTATCAGGAAATAATAATGATAACTATAGTAGATTTAAATTCAAAGTGTCTAAAATTCAATAAAACATAAGGTTACGGGGGAACATTTTCCTATATTTTTAAGAATAATAGGTAGTTAAAAAATTAGATAAAAAAAGCGCTCACATTATATTCCTAAAGTAATTTTAAAGATATGTCCCGCTTACAAAAATGTTAGATCAACCTCCGGCTGTAAGTCAAACTGTCAACCTGTCCAAACCTTAAATAAACAAATACCTCCGTGTTAAAAATGTGTTTTCGCGATGTTTTAAACTAAAAGTAAGAAATATTTGTTTCAAATCAGATGAATTAAACTTTAAACCAGCTAATATTCCCCAAATACACTTTCAGAAAATATATTTTATTTTTGAAAAAAAATTTTAATAAAGAGAATTATTTTATGCTGAAAGATGGTGAAAAATGGTGCTAAAATCAGCGATTTAAAATAAAATTTCTACTAATCAATTTAAATTAGTTTTTGAAATACAGCAAGTTATTGGGAATATTAAAGTTAATCTATTATCTTTAAATTAAAAATAAAATAAATGCTTCAAGAAAGATTTTTCATTTTTAAAAATTTATTTTAATTCGTAGGTATTACGTTTTCTGTGGAGGTACCTACACTCCTGAAAGTAATAAGAGACAGGAAGATGTGGAGAACCATAATCGCCTATGTTGAGAAGAGAATACGGGAAAAGATAGGGTCACACAAGTGCACTATTTTTCTTTTTTCCTCTCAGAACATAATTGGGTTATCAATGGCGGATTTGAAGTGATGCATAAAATTGGGCTCGGTCGTCAATAATGGAGACTGGGGCATTTAGTCAAGGCATTTGATAATTGTACATACAGTAGTTCCTTTAATGTCATTGACAACATGAGGAGAAATTCACAGGACAAAGGTTATCTTCACTGCGACGCAAACACACATGCGCGACATATTCAGTTCTATTTGTAAGACTAAAAGCAATAGTCACTGTAAACTTGCATAAAATATATGTTGATATTTATAACGTTTAGTCTCGCTCGACAACAGGATGTGTTGCGGTGTGTTGTGTCGGAAACCTACCACCCCTCTTGAAGATGAACTTGTCTGCGTCTGTGAACAAAGACTTTAAATAGTGGCATGTCAGTTTACATGGGAAGACAGATAGAGAGGGTAAGACCTCCGAGTCTAGCTGAGTCGTAATACAGTTTTTGACTGTAAGCGACGTCTGTCGAACTCTCTGCATTAGCAGAGAGGAACCCGGACGAAGCTTTGTCGAAAGGCAAGGTTTCGTCCGGGGAGGTAGACAGGGCCTGAACCCGTCTAGGCGGATTCAAAGGCTATATTTTTGGCCGAGCCTACGGGCTCGGAGATACCCACATTAAACCGGCCTTGTGCCATATTCAATCCTCGTCGGTGGATCGATAAATACTAAGACTGATAGACAGAGAAGATCTTAGCTGAGCTAGTTATTGACTACTCAGGTGATTTCTGTGCCTTTTTACCAACCTATTAAAACCCTTTTTATTCTTACGTGTTATTTGGCGTTTGTCTCTACTAACCCCAAATCAATATCATTACACGGTGCAATGAATATCGGCCGAGTTCGAATTCCAGTCGGGTTTTTTAGATTCAGTTACGCACAAACGGAATAGCTATGAATCCATCTCTTCTCTCTCCAGCTATGGGTTGAATAACAGGATAGACTTTGTTCTTTAGACTTGGTTAGCAAACAGTCTACCGCAGAAAGAAATAGCAACCTACTGCGGAAAAAAAACTTCTGCCACGTCAGTCGAAAGATACATAATCGCCTAAGCATGTATCACCTGTGGCACTTAACTGACTGACTAGCATTGACTTTTGCTGCTGGCGTCACGGTGTACAATTGATGCTAACCTGTAAGTACAATAAGAGGGTGCTGCTTGGGAGAGGGGATCCTAGTGACCAGCCAGGTTTCATTGATAAAGCATTGATTCTTACGTGAACATGAGACACTACTGATTTAAATATTTATCTGTCTCCCCCCCAGCTATGGGTTGAACAGCAGGACAGACTGGATTCTTTAGCCTTGGTTGGCACACAGTCTACCGCAGAAAGAAATGGCAACCTACTGCGGGAAAAAATATTCTGCCTCGTCAGTTATGTATCGAAAGATACATGAACGTGTATCATGTATGACACTTAACTGACTAACAGTCTAGTTCTCGCCTAGGCTCAAAAATCTGGATACACTTTATTTTACTAATCTTTTCCTGCAAGCACCTATCAACTTTCAAAATATAGAAAACTTCCCAAAATTTGTTACATTAGGCTGGTTAATTCAATAACGTATCAATTGTCTTTGAGTTAGTAAATGTCGAATATTAAAACAAAAATCACTTTTAAGTAATATATTAGTAAACATAAGCTCGATTTACATTGGACTCGAAAAGTTCCACATTGGCCCGGTTTATTCTCGAGTCGAAAAAGACAACATTGGCCCGGTTTATTCTCGAGTCGAAAAAGACAACATTGGCTCGGTTTATTCTCGAGTCGAAAAAGACAACATTGGCCCGGTTTATTCTCGAATCGAAAAAGACAACATTGGCCCGGTTTATTCTCGAGTCGAAAAGAACATTAGCCCGGTTTACGCTCAAGTCTGCGACTACCTACCCAAAAGTTGACACCTCTTGATAGGGTCTTAAGTCATTGAACCCTGACCACCGTTTTACCGGTGGTAGAGAAAAATGACATAATACCCAGCCACCGGTTGAAGGGTGGGTAAACACTTGTGTCGTGTTTTGCTATTGGTTATCTTATTTAGAAGAGCCAATCAGAAAAGCCGTAATATCCTGATGTCATCGAACGTTATACCAACATGTCTGCGCCTTTTTATTGCGTTTTGTGCATGTGTTTTGGATTTAAAAAAAAAAAAAAAGATCGTTTTTACCATGAAGCGTGGAGAGTCTCAACCTGGATCGTCAGGGAAGCAATCAGAAAGTTATATTTTTTTGTAACTATTTTTATATCTACCGTGAAATATTGCATACCAATTATTTGCGAATTTTGACTCAGGAGCTCAGGCAGAATGGTTCAAATTGTTCAGGAACGTAGGGCCGAAAGGGTTAATTCTCTGCAAAAGATTCAGTCGTCGTATTCTAAATACCGACTAAAGCACCTCCTCAACCAAAATAAATGGTAAAAATGGGTCTTGGAGTTGGGTAATTGTAGATAATGCCCGAAACGTTCTGTTCGTAAACGATTTCTGACGAAAAAAAATATCTTTGCTTGTATAAAATTGGATTTCATTGAAACAACTTTTGTACAACTTGTAAGAAGAAAGAATTTTAAAAAGTAGGATATGAAAATTATGTGTGTACATTCAATACCCAACATTAGTAAAAAACGATCCTAAGCTTTCTGCTCCCATTCTCCCCTATACACTAATAGAAAGTAGTGTATCGATAATATTCAACATGAAAAGCAAATAGAGATTTCCTGTTTGAAATATCGTAAACGAATTCACGCATTGAGTTGGTCAGGACGAATCTCGGAACAACAGTAATTAATAGATGGTTCCCCGCTCCTGAAAACCTTCAATCTTCCGGTCATAATGCTTGCTGCCGGATGTAGTTTATTGTCATTCCCAGGACTACACGTATTAAGAGTGTAGTTACAAAAACGTATCCCACCGTCTCGGTTTTATTGCTAACAAATAATAACAATGAGAAATTCGATTATTTAAGCGATCCCACTTTTAATTGTCACTATGACGTTCTTAAAGAATCATATATAATGTATTAGTGGATTTAATGCAGTGACTTTATTTCGTATATTATGAATTGACATTCTTTGTGTCAATTGGCCATATCCTTTTAAAATTAGACCCAATAGTCTCAAGTAGTGAAAGTTAAAATTTAGTAGCGTTGGACTTTCAAAAGTAGCTTCAAAAGTCACAATAACGAAATTCAAAATTTAGTGACGCCAGGTCTCCAGAAAGACATGCAAAAATTACAAGCTGTGAAATTTAAAAAAGTTTGTAGCAACACTTACCCACGTATGTAGCAAGGTGTGAAGTTCTCGTGCGATCCCCGAAGTTAAGCAAAGTCGAGTCTGTTCAGTACCTAGATGGGTGACCGCTTGGGAATACCAGGTGCTGTAAGCTTGGATGCATGGGTGGTGTAATGGATAATGACTCGGAATTGTAAATTGGTGAGCCGAGTTCCAATTCCAGTCTAGTTCATTATATTCACTTACGTTTCCCTTGGGAAAAGTATGAATCCACCACTTCTCCCCAGTTAGGGTTTAATTAGTAAAACTTGTGTCAATAAACCATTGTTATCTCCTCCCTCCCCCACCAAAAAAATGTTACAATCTAAAAATATTTTCTGGCTTTAAATAACCTACAAATGTTTGATAAGCCCCCCCCCCAAAAAAAAAACGAATCAATCGATCAATATTTTTATTATTGCAATACCGAAGATAAGATTACATCAAAAATTATGTTGGGTTTCTACTGTTGAGCTAGTTTCGCAGTTTCAGTAAGTTTGAACATCATTTTACTCAGTGACTACTAAAGCCAAACTTAATGAACGTCAGTTTTAATTCGAAGAATATATAAAGAAGGAAATAGTTTCTAGACAAGGAGTGCTGAAAAGATTTCGATCCGGAGGCCGATTTATCAAAATCTGACCATGTGCAAAATGATTATTATCACAAAAATAATTCTTATAATCTAAAAATATCTTCTGGCTTTAAATAACCTGCAAAGGGTTGATAAGCCGTAGAAAACGAATCAATCAAAATTTAATAGCGCTGAGCTTTCACAAACCACAACCTTACATGCAAATGTTTCTCAAGTAGAAAAGATTTGGAATCTTCTCTGACAAAACCGAAGTTCGTTTTTGATTGGCTGTAGCAGAAAAGTGATCTTTCTCTTAAACTGCATTTTTGTTAATCAGATTGCTGATCTCCGAACAGATATACTATCTATACATATAAAACAGAGGATGTCTGTGTGTCTGTCTGCCTGTGTGATACCTTTTCACTGGAGATCCATCCAACTGATTTTGACCAAACTTGGCACGTACATTGTACAATGTAAGAGATAGGTTCTAAGTGTAAAAAATCGATAATTTTTTAAAAATCAATAATCGATAAAGCCGATCAAAATTCGATAAATTCAACCCTTTTCCTCCGATTTCGTTCAAACTCAGTATCTAGGTTACTTACATCATGACGAGCTCAACGATACCTCATTTTTATTTCTATACCACTGCGTTTAGCGAAAAACAAAATCGATTTCAACACAAATTTGAAACTAAAAGCTCCCTCAATTTTCAAGCAATCTAATACAAACTTCACTCAATTGAAGCCAACAATAAGTTGATTGTTTAACAGTCATTTAACTTAATAATTGAGTCCACCCATATAATGAAACCCGCCTAAATAGCGAAAAATGGTGATTTTTACTGTTTTTTTTCTTATTTTTCGTTGATCTTTCAACCAATTTTCATCAAACTTAACAATTGCTTAATAAATGTATCCTCTTTTACCTCCCTGGTAGCACACTGATAAATTGAAATTCAAAAACTCCAAAATAATTGTGGTCTGAAGTGGGTCTTCATGTTGCCTGTTTTACCCCTTCATGTCCTCGGCTAACTTTGATTGAATAAATACAGACTATTTCTGAGATATAAGTAACTGCATTAATTCAAAATGTTTTTTTAATGAAAGTACTTCAAAGTAATTGAAGAAAATAGAATCTGTTACATCTAAACATGATGCTGTTTTTGCTCCATTTTAATTGAACGCTTTTTCTGGTCGACCAGCTGGGTATGGCTGCTAGTTAAAAGTAGTAAATCGGGGTAACTACATTTGCAAGCTTAGCGTTACTAAATTTTAAATTGGATTTTTTTTTTTTGGGGGAATAAGTTATCATTATTTACATTCGGACAAATGTTTTCCTCTTTGTCGTTATTATTACAACGTTTCGGTCAGTGTGCTCTCCAGCCTTCTTCAGGTATCTATCAGCCAACTAACCTTTATTTAATATACGCAGTAGGTTGTTCTCGTTTCGCTGCCCGTGTCCAAGGGAGGTAACCCGTCTAGTTCGTATTTAGTTATTCCGTTATTGCTTATTTTGTATCAGCCCAAGGATTGAACTCGCAGTTACTATACCGCCAAATTTACGAACCAGCGCTTTAATCTATTAGGCTAAGTAGGTAAATAGCCTCCCCCTCCTCCTCTAATTTGGCCATCCTGATTAGTACTTATCTTAGTACGGTATACGGAGAAGGAATGAGGATAAAAACATAGCGTGAGAATGTGCCTGCCATGAAGATAAGCTTTCAAAATGTTGGCTTAGACTCGAACAATGCGATTGATGCATCCGTTATCGTGTGAGAAACTAAAGCTACTGAATTCAAATAAGAATCTGTAATGTCATTGGTCCTGACATGGCATCTCGGCTTCAGTTACTTTCTCAATGTAGCTACCTTGTGGCTTTTCTGTAACTATTTTCACGGTCATTGTTGTGAGGAGCTTTCGTCTTTGGTGGTACCTAGACTTTATGAATTTAAGCGCAGTACTGGATTGGCGGAAAGGTCTCATCATTTTACAGTTGAAATGGTTAGATATAACCGTAAGTTCTAGATTAACAATTTCTTCTCTCGGCTTAAGTCACTGTCCCACCGCTGTAATATAGCTTCCCCGTGTCCTTTCTATAAATATTTTCATGGTAATTGTTCTAATTAACTTTCCACTATGGTATCTAGTCATTATGAATTTAAACGCAGTACTAGATTGGCGGAAAGGTCTCATCATTTTACAGCTGAAATTGCTAAACGTAACCGTAATTCCTATGTTAACAGATTCTTCTCTCACTTCTCGCTTGTGAAATTCTCTCCCGTCCTCTTGCTTTCTAGCCAACTTTGATCTTTAAAAATTTAAATGCAATGTCAATTACTATCTTTCGTCTTCTTTATACCTGTTCTTTTATTGTCCTTTCTCCTTAAAAATGTTTTGGCTTTTCTCATATTCTTTCGCACTCAGTAACCTCCATACGTCTTAGTGGCTTTATTGCCTTACTTGGGGTGAAATGATTGAAGACAATAAATAAATGAAAATAACAATCATAATGATCTCTCTGTTCAGAGCACTTGCTAATCGGGCAGTGATTATCCAGAAGCTTCTCTTCAACATAAGAGGGTGGGGAGATTTGTTTCTCAGCCTCGAGTCTCCAGTGACAGTTTCCCAACAAGCCACGCCGTTAACCGTTTTTTATTCTTCACGGGTCAGGAACGACACGGAATAACAGACTAATGTCCTTCCCACTGATGTTAATGAAAAAAAAATTAAACACCAGTTAAAAGGAAAAAAATATATTAAAGTCTTTCATATATTTCTCCCGGAACTATTGCCTGTATATTTACTGTAATTTATTAATAATTAAATTTATTATTGTAATTTTTGTTTTCTGGAAGTATGTGTGTGTGTGAGAGAGAGAGAGAGAGAGAGAGAGAGAGAGAGAGAGAGAGAGAGAGAAAGAAAGAAAGAGAGTGAGAGAGAGAAACTATATGTGCATGATAATTTGGGATTGGATATTTATTTGTAAAAATGTATCATGTTATGTAAACAGTTCTTCATGATAAAGGTCATCATATTTTACATATTAACCTAAATTTTGATATTCTGCTTTTATGCATTTTTATACGCAGTTGCAAACAATAAATATAAGACTTTATATATATATATATATATAAAGATAGATAGAAAGATAGACAGATAGATACGAAGGTACTGAGATAAGTAGATATCCTTTAATCATTTTTATACACAGCTGCAAACAAAAAATATAAGACGTTATATATATATATATATATATATATATATATATATATATATATATATATATATATATATGTATGTATGTATGTATATATTATGAAATAGACAAACACTAACAATTATTTTAAGACATTTCTGTTCATACATATGTTTATCTATTAAAAAGAATGTATAAACATACAAATGTCTTAAAACAATATATATATATATATATATATATATATATATATATATATATATATATATAGATAGATAGATAGATAGATAGATAGATAGATAGATATGAAAGACTGAGAGAGAGATATGTAGATATATTTTATGCATTTTCATACACAGTTACAAATAATATAAGACGCTATATATATATATATATATATATATATATATATATATATATATATATATATATATATATATATATATATATATATAAAAGACAATAGGAAAACTGTATTATTATTCAATAATTTATTGCATTTACCTTTATAGATATTGTCTTTTCTACAGACTGAGAAATTTTCATACACACACATATATATATATATATATATATATGTGTGTGTGTGTGTGTGTGTATACATACATATATATATATATACATACATAAATTTATATAATATAGGTTTAACTTATTTATTTACTATATTTCCATAATATTACCTCCCCTCTAACTCTTCAAATGTTGAAATTATAACTAATCCTAATTTCTATATTCCCCCCACTCTTTAACCTCTTTACACTATATTATTTATAATTTATAAACTTTCCCCTCCTCTAAGATTACCACAAATCTCTTTCCATTAATCCATTACATCGTTTTACCTATATATTTTTAAGTTATTTTTAAACCCCTTTTTATTCCTCTTTTAAATTTAAAATAATATTTCATTCTTCATATAACTCCAAATTAATATTCGAATTTAATTTTATAAAACTTCTTTCCTTTAAGACAAATACATTCCACCCTCCCCTAACCCCTGTCTCGTGAATTTCATCTGACTGAAACATTTAAATTGATAAATTCTGTATTAGTTTTCGACTGGTTGTTTTTGTTTTGTTATTTTAAACTGTCATAGTTAAATTTCTATTTCTAACACGAACTCAGTCCACACGGAGACTAATGAAACAGACGACTGATATCTTCGTCTGCCGAAATAGGCTATTCCCCATATGAAGTGATTTTAGATTTTATTGTCTATTAATTGTTTTCTATGAAACAATACACTGAACTCTTTTTGTCGATCAGTTTTAATATTTTTTATATTACTAGGATCCACTTGGATTATATACCAACAGATTTCTTATCTTTACTATATATATATATATATATATATCGAAATAGATAGATATCTTTTATACATGAGCTTCAACCGTCCAACACTTTTGTCAACTGTGAAGCAGGCTATACGTGAGGACCTTAGGTATTTTGTTGTCACTCATCCTTACAACATGGCCAGCCCAGCGAAGTGGTGACTGCATCAAGTGAATCTCAATTCCACTATTGTTGTCTTTTGCGATAACATCAGCATGTATATATATATACATATATATATATATATATATATATATATATATATATATATATATATATATATATATATTGTTTCATTTATCCACTCTACAACTATATATATATATATATATATATATATATATAGTGAGAGAGAGAGAGAGAGAGAATTGTAGAGTGGATAAATGAAACAGCTAAATATAAGCAGGTGTGTACGCGTGTGCTGGTGTGCATACGTAGGTAAGCAAATAAATAATCGGTAAATATATGTATGGGGTGTAAACGTAATAGTGCTCACTGTACTGTGCTTATACAGAGCAAAGACATATATCAATTAGTATATATAAGCGTACCTACGTTTTTGGCGTACTACTATAGTTTTGCTGGGTGGTGTTCCCAGCTCGTCAGGCACGGGGACAAGCGATACTATAGTCGCACTCCAAAAACGTAGGTACGCGTATATGTACTAATATATACATATATATAGATAGATAGATATATATCGTGTATTGGGGCAGTAGACCTTTTTTTAAACTTATATTGTTAAATGTCTGTTATGTTTGATCATGAGCCGTTCTAAACTCCGTATATTTGCTTTAATGTCGGGTGAAAATAAAGACATTTGGATATTTTTTTTAAGCTGTTCCTTGATCCAAGCTTTCGGCTCACAAGAGACATCTTCAGAATGGTTATATGAACATTTAAACGCAGATATTCCCCATCAAAGATGATATTCTGTTATGTTAACATTGAAACAAACGCAAATTGAAGCTTTATACCAACAAATACTTCTATTTGAACAAAACAATCATATTGGGTAGGTTTAAAAGAATTAAAGCCGAATCTATGAAACACCGTTATCATAAAAATTCGAATGGAATTATAAACACCCCTTTAAAAGCAAATATACAACTAAAACATCATAACAGTATCGTTATATATGATCTGATAAAACTAATATTTTCGTTATTTTAAACAAACATGAGTACCACTCGAAATTACAAGCTATTTTGGACGATCACATTAAATTTAAAAAGTTAACCACCTCTAAACTTAAAAACGATATCAATAAACATATTACTGCTAACAATGCTCTTTTACCTAATATTTTTTTGCTATATAAAACACACACACACACACACACACACACACACACACACATATATATATATATATATATATATATATATATAGTTTATGAGAAACTAGGTAATCCGTATGGGTAAACGTAAGGAGGATAAAATCCAGAGAGCTCAATGTAAATTCAGAGCAAATAATTTAAATAAATTAAAGTGGTCTGTTTTTATTTAAATTATATTTATATATATATATAGTTTTAAAGTGTGCTATGTTTATGACGATTGCGTGCAGCAGGAAACAGCCTGTCGCCTCTAAGTGTTGACTTCAGTGTTCACTCATATATTCTGCAATATTTTAAAAAGAATTTTGATTTTTTTGCGTCTGTATAAACTACATATATATGTTTATAATAAACAGTATTAAACAATATTTACCGGCCTAAATGTCCGAGAAATTTTCATCGAAAATATGCGTCCTTCGATAGGAATCGAACCTGAATCCTATACGGAACCGTCATATCGCCTGACGTGCTTTTACCGATTTCGCCACAGAGGAGCGTTTCGGTTAGCAAGGTCGATATTACTGTTTTTAAACTACAATCTTCCTTAACTGTCAGCCTAATTTTGCCCCAGTTTGTATATACTTAATAACAGACTTAACTTTTTTCTTACAGGTTTCAGCCCAGGAAACTGTTGATGAAATCATCAGTGCGGCAGCCAATTCCAGTAAGTCTTTAATATATGAACACGACCGATTTTCCGGTGCCCTTTCTTTATAAGAAAATCAATAATAGGCCCCAGAAACACAAAATATGAATCTCTCGTATTCCGACAATAACATCAACTGTTACAAACTGTCATTAAACTATTAAGAGCTTGCGCGCCTGGGAACTTAATCTGACAAATTCAAATGGCTACTCATTATTAAAAGAGATATCGGATACTGTTGCCGGAAAATCGCTGGTGTATATGTGGAGAAATTTTCTAACTAAATACTGATCAATATGGTTCTTTATATGTAACCAACATACACTAATAATAGTTCGTTCCTAAGTACTTACATGTAACACGGATAGAAAGAAATGGCATAATCGAGATGTTGACTTTCCACACGACTTCAAACAAAAGATTAGGAAGGAAATTCCCGTCAATGCTAGAAAGATCTATAACTATTTTCCTAAAAAAATTGTTTTAAGAGAAAGATTCTATAAATTCCAACTGACAACTGTACTAGCGGCTCAGTCAATATATGACGACATTTCCTTATAGGGAAACGGAAATCGCGCCTATCTAGTGACCCACATTATAAGTGGTGTTTCTTGGGTAAGATAGCCTGATGGAGCCCAACCCTCTCCAGGCTCTTTTTTAAATTCAAAATTACCTTCTCCTAGAAGACTGGTTGCCACCCAAGGCTATAGAACCCAGTCTGTTCTGCTATTTACCATAGGATTCATACCTTGTCACATGGGTATTAGCGCGTAAGTAATTTAATAGATCCGACTGTAATTCGAACTCGGCTCTCTCGATTTCCTCAATCCGAGCCGCTATCCATTACACCATCGTACCTCAGAAAGTTATATACTTGAAGGAAACGGGTAGTGTTACCATTAAATTAAGGGGCGAATTTTGATAGAAAAACAACTCTAAAACTGACAGAAAACAAGATCACGCGATACAAGTCAGTCATGTGCCATGAGTGATACACGCGTAGGCGATCATGTATCTTTCGACACATGACTGACGAGGCAGATTTTCCCGCAGTAGGTTGCCGCGGTAGACCATTTGCCATCCAAAACTATAGAACCCGGTCTGTCCTGCTATTTACCCATAGCTGGGGGGAGAAAAAGAGGATGCGTACATTTCCGAAGGGTATTAGCACGCAAGTGAATGTAATAGATTCAACTGGAATTCGAACTCGGCTCTACCGATTACTCAATCTGGGCCGCTATCCATTATTCCACCATGTAAGCAATCTGACTTTTGCTCTACCGGATATTTTGACTGTAAAGTTAAATTAAAACTAAGGAAAATTATATAAGGGTTTTTAATTTATTATACATTAATTTAATATATTAATAATAATTTTAATTTTAAAGTCTGTCTATATTTCTGAGATGAGGTATTATGTACATTATTTACATTATTCGGACTATTGTCCTCATCTTTTTCGCCATATCTATCACAACGTTTAACTGTCATTGGATCTAACCAACGCCGTTATCCACTGTGCCATGTGTTCTTGGGGACAAAACGTTGTGATAGATATGGCGAAAAAGATGAGGACAATAGTCCGAATAATGTAAATAATTAATTTTAAATATGAATAAAATACAATAAATGACATATTAGCAATAAATGTATATAGTAATAGACTTGATATTATTCACATTATTCGGACTATTGTCCTCATCTCTGTCGCCATATTTATTACAACATTTCGGCCGTTGTACGCTCCGGCCTTCTTCAGGTAGTTGGAATGTCGAACTGAACCCTTTATTTCGCTCACTGGGGTAGAATGTTATACAATTCCTGAACTTATCTAACAGTAAAAAATAATATAAGCTTTTATTTCACTGAATAGTTATGGAGTCCCACAAAAAAATTAAAAGTAAAGTGGTCCATGGGTAAAAAAAAAGGTTGAGAATCACTCTAAAAAGACAAGTTTCAGTTGAAAAACATGCAAAATAATAATAATAATAATAATAATAATAATAATAATAATAATAATAAACAAATAGAAGCCACCCGACAACCTTTTTTTCCAAGAACAGACATGGCAGCGCTCAGACTTTTTTTTTAATGTCGTGTCCCTTCTGGTAATAGGCGATCATGGCTCTCTACAGCTTCTCTTCTTTTAATATCCGTAAAGTTCATTTAATTTCCATAAAGAACCTTCCTGATTTCATTAGTTCTCAACTTGGTATTTATGCTGATGACACAACTATTTACTCCTGTCTTGATATTAAGTCTGATCAGCTGGATAGGGTTAAATTGACAGCTGATCTAAAAAGGAAAATGAACTGCAATCTGTTGTTAAATGGGGCGAGAAGTGGCTTGTTAATTTTAAGGCCACCAAAACGAAGTGAAAATGGGTTGAAATAATTTTAAAAACTGATTATTTCCACGCCTGTTCTTTAGAGAAACAGAGGAGTAATCTCCCCTTGTGCCTTCGATGGTTTTGGAATCAAAGTTGTCCTTTTCCTAGACTGCTTACCAACCAAGCCTAAAGAGCTCTGTCTGTTCTCCTACATTCTCCTGTAGCTTTTTTATACTAAAATACAAGGGCTCGAATACTAACCAAAGTAGCGAGATACTGTTAAAACGGTAATTATAAATTGTGTATGATATGAATTGGTGAGAAGCTGATAGGTGGAGGAAAGATTTACCCTTGACTTGAAGTGTTCAGGAAAACATTCCACAACGTAGCAGTTCTTAGGGCAGAAAAAGCTGTCTGAATGGTGTTTAGGCGAAGGCAGATTAATTTCTTTTCTACATCTGAAACTACCTTAGCTTGGATTTGAAATCGGTTCACCGATTCCATTTTCTGCGCTTTTTACGCGACCCGCACATTCAGTGCACTGTTTACAGATACATAAAGAAAAGGAAGCTGTAGAGGACCATCATTTCCTTTCGTTTTGAAGGCATGTGGCATTTAAGGTGAAGGAGGAGAATCTGATCCAAAGAATGTTTAAAGTTTTGAGCTTTTTTTCTGTATTTAGATTTTTTTTTTTTTCATTTAATTTTCTTTTCTTTTTTCCAGGTGAGGTATTTAACTTTTTGAACGATGGTGAAGATTTCGTCATCAGAACAGAGCTTGATATGCTCTTTACAAGAGAACAATGGAGCGAAATGATCCAGCTGTAAGGGACCCCTTTTTTTATTTTGTTTCGTTTTTGCTTTAGTTAATATTTTTTTAAAGCCTGCTTCATAATACTCTCACATTCAATCCGTACCAATCTCTCTATATAAAACAGAGGACGCCTGTGTGTTCGTGTCAGTCTATCCGTCTGTGTGTGTGATACCTTTTCATTCGAGATCCATCCAACGATTTTGACCAAACTTAGTGTTATGGGGTCCTCCCTTTTTTCATATAAGTGGACTCGACCAGAGTGTTACTTGACCTGCTGCCGTTAAATACCCAGAGCTAGACAGTCAGTCATTGAGATAGTAAAAAGACTGAGATTGTGATTGAGTTGGAGGTAGAGTAATAGTGTGAGGTAACCGCTTGTAGAAGTCAGTTACAAGCACGTAGACTCCAAGGAAGTCCTACTTCGAGACTGTATATATCTATATGTTATTGCTACTAACCGCGTTCCTGGATTTACTAACAGTATTACCCTTTGTATTATTGTGTAAATACATTTTATTTCTTATATTTAATTCCTGCGTTTATCATTCATTGGAGACCGAATTTGATCTCGGAATCCACAACACTTAGCATATACATTGTACAATGTAAGAGATGGGCTCTTAGCAGAAAAAATCGATAATTTAAAAAAAAATCAATAACAGATAAAGTCGATCAAAAATCGATAAATTCAAATTTTTCTCCATTTCGTTCAAACTCGGTATGTAGGCTACTTACATCATGACGAGCTCAACGATACCTCATTTTTATTTCTACACCACTGCGATAAAATACACATACATATATACTTTATTTACATTTTTTTACAATAATTTTGTACTGTACCGGGTGTTTTAGGCCATGAAAAAAATGCTTCAAATTAACGGACAAACGGCTTAAACGCACGACCCTCCCCCTATTAGTCCGTTAAATTGAGATTCCACTTTACGTCACAATTCAGTAATTTTCTTCGTTTATGACGAAATTTTCCTATTACTTAATACTTTGCTTAGCTTTTAGAAGGCATCTTTTGCTATCCCAATGCGTCTTCGGATTTCGGTGTCTCACTCTCCGCCCTCAGTTAAAAAAAAAACTTCCAAGATATTTAAATTGTTGTACTTGTTTGATTTTGGGATCTCCAATTTGTAATTTGCATGTTGGGCTGTCCCTTTTGCTAACAACCATGCAGTCTTCTTGTAAATGATATTTAGTCCTTTCTTCTTGCTTTCCTTCACTCCCTCCTGTAAGAGTTTTTGTAGTTTCCTTTCCGAGTCTGCTATCAACACCATGTCATCTGCATATCTTATGTTGTTAAAATTGTGGCTGCCGATTACGAGAAAACATATAAAAGCTGTTATTGTATCTCATTTAGCGCTTTACCTTCCTAAACTACAAACTCTAAACAAAACGTCGACATACGAACTCATTATAATATTGTAAATATACAACGAAACCCGCCCTCAGCATCTCATCAAACAAAAAAAAACCAATGTTGCGTCTCTATTTTCATTTACATCGGGAAAAACCATTGTATGATCACAAGGAAAATGGAATGAATAGCGTGTTACAGTTTTTTGTGTATATCATGTAACTAGTGAGTTAGTCCAAATGCCTTGACTCGCTTTATAGTCTACCAATAGAAGGTTAACCAATCAGAAGACGCAGAACATTCTATCCGTCGTGTATAAAGGCGGCCATTTTTGTTTATCCTACCCGAATGACCAGTGCCAACTTGTCAGGCAAACATGAATCCACTGCGAACCTCCACTACACTTTTCTACTGTCTCCGAAATATTCACTGCCAACCTCTGGATTCTATACTCGAAGACGACCGTCATGAATTTATAACATAGCGAAAATAAACGCCCCGACGCGAGAAATGCAAATTGCGAATCCAGTTTCATATATCTTCAGTTATTCATTTCGGGGATTCAGTTGCACGATCTGAGTGGGTAGGTAGGTGGGTAGGTAGGTAGGTAGGTGGGTAGGTAGGTAGGTAGGTAGGTAGGTGGGTAGGTAGGTGACACTGCTGTGTCAGTCTAACAGATAAATTTTTCCCTCCAGCCAGTTAGAATTTTGGCTGACTCTCCCCTACCAATTTTCTGCCCATCTCTACATCACAATTTATGACTTCGAAACCCTCTCTCGACAGACAGCGTACACCCGACAACAAGCGGCTCAGAACTACCTCGGTGGACAGTTTGTCCCTACCAACGGACGATCCGGAACTAATCTTATACCCAAGTGTGACTGTTAATATATGCCTACGAACGGAAATATCCCAAACGTTCGGCTAGGTGTCAGTTGACCCCAAAAGTTTTCATTTATTTATTTTGGTCAAGAGGGTGGCCGCTTTGAAGATTCCTCTTCGAGTAGTCAACTACTGGTCATAAAAATCCATTTACCATCCTTTTCCATGGGAGTGAAATGATCACAGTATAGCATAAGTAGAGGTATGAGCTTGATAGGACTTGGTAACATCCTTAGTAATGGCAAGAATCCGTGCTTTCTCCCTACTCAGCTATGGTTTAAATAGTAGAGCAGACTTGGTTCTTAACTGTAGAAAGTCTAGAAGAAGGCCAACACTGAAATCAAAACTACGAAAACTGTTGGATATCACTCTATTATCATTCCCAACAACAGGTCCGCTCATAGATTACCTCTTGCTGATAGTACCATATAACACAATACAACTTGTCGTGTGGCTTATGGCCACATCACATAAAAAAAACTGGTTCCCGTACAATCCCCACCGTTCTGGATATGACGGTAAACTACATCCGCGTCCCGGGTAAGACGATAAACTACGTCTAACAGCAAGGCCACTGATCAGGAGGTTTTGAGGAGCGTGGAACCACCTCTTAATTGCTGGTGTTCCCAGGTCCACCCTGACCTGGGGTTGTAGCACCTGTTAGGGTCCTAGCTATGGGCAAATAGTTAACACCCAAACTTGTGTAAAAAATAGATTTTAATACCAAAAATACTTTGTAATAAAAAATTATTGCTAGCAATAATTTTTGAAGGAAAAATTATTATCAGTAGCACTTTAATAAAATGCCAGTAACACAAACAGCTATACATTTTTAAGAAGTTGGATTGTACTGAAAAATATGAGTAATTGAAAAATGGTTGAAATATATATGTATACATACACACCTTTTTTTCCAAACTATCGCTATGAATCTATTTCAAAAATGTTGTTGGCCTTAAATGATTCACTGAGGTTGATATGCCATAAAACAAAACAACCAACCAACCAACCAACGTACAATCCCCAAAGTTAAGCAACGTCATGGCTGCACATGCCTATATGGGTGACTGCTTGGGAATACCAGGTGCTGTAAGCTTGGGTGTGCGTGTGGTGTAATGGATAACGCTTAGGAAATGTTAATCGGAGAGCCGAGTTCCAATCACCGTAGGGTTTTTTATATACACTTGATATATGTATGAATCCCACCTCTTCTCTCCAGCAATGGGTTAATGATTATGACTTGTCTCACTAAAATATTATCACCCAACAAAATTCTTAGAATCTAAAAATATTTTCTGGTTTTAAATAACCTGCAAAGGGTTGATAAGCCGTAGAAAACGAATCAATCAATATGTCGCATGTTACTTAGAGAGGAGATGGGCACTGCCAAATGATTACCAGTGCACTGAGAATTGTTGTGACGAGCATACACAGTATGGTACACCACCGATCATATGGATCTTGTGTAACATAGTTACAAGTCAGGATTTTACAAGTGCTAACATCTGCTGATAAAGCTAAATATTTCACCCGTAAATTCTCTTTAAAGCATGTGGACCTGACGGCAGTTCTGCAATAGGCCTTAAGACGCGTGCTCCCCAACTGGCTCTTGTTCTCTCTAAACTGTATAATAAATGCCTCGACGCCTCTTGCTTTCCTGCTTGTTGGAAATCCTCATATGTTGTTTGTTTTTAAAAACTCAGATGAACCATCTGACCCTTCCAATTATCGTCCTATTAGCCTGCTACTTCTTTCTGGTAATCTCTCTCGGCTGCATTTCCAGACAACTTTGATCTTCAAAGATTTAAATGTAATGCTAATCGTTATCTACTGTCTTCCTGATTACTCTTCTATTATTCTCGTTTCTTAATAATGTTTCAGTTTTCTAATTCTTCCACACCGAGTAACACTTTGTGTTTTAGTGACTTTACTGCCTTGCGTGGAGTGAATTCGATTTTTAAAATTTGTTTTGAAACTGGTGGTTGGTTGCTTGATTGGAATGTGAATTTCTGTGGTTGTAATTTGGTAAGTAGGATAAATTAAAAGTGGTTGAGAAAGGAATGTAACAGGGTTACTATTGTTACTAGTGTTGATTTTATCAGTTTGTAAAGCTATAATCGGTGACTGCTTGAAATGGGAATCCTGTGCTTGTAATTTACTAATTAGGACAAATTACAAGTGGTTGAAGGTGGAATGTAATCAAATGTCTTTCGCAATTAATTCTTTTAACTTTATCCTTTACCATGTCAAGAATTACTAATTCATGTCAATTCGCCCTCAGTTAGCACGAAAGTCGCCTATCTCATGTATTTCTAATGAAAAGGTTTTTGTCTGTTTCATTGAGTATTTAATACTACAATTCGTATTATTACAATATATGGTTTGATCTGGAATCGGATGTTCTAATCTATGGTTAGTAAATTTCAATTATCAAGATCATTATTAATTTAGATTTTTTTCTTTCAGCTTAATTTTTAATTTCCAGTCGGGTCGTCATTCTACGGCAGTAAATAATAAAGATCAGAAATAATAACGCTCACGTTGAGATTCGAACTTAGATTCGCTCTTCTCGGAGAAGTTTGATTAACATTCCATTGCTAAATGAAACTTTAATTCATAAACCTAACTGTTTATACACTTTGTCGATTAGTCCTATATAAAATAATTTCATATATTTTTTTTATTTTAATGAATATTTATATTAAAAACAAGTAGAAACTTTAAATGAATATATGCTAAGGAACGGCACTGCTTGGGGGAGT